TACTATTATTATCCCCATTTTACAGATGAAGAAATGGACTCTCCGAGATCACACATGTGATCAGTGGCAGGGCTGGATAGCTAACACCAAAATCTCTGCTCTTAAACACTATGTTCTCTCTCCTCCCATCCTGAAATCTCAACAGGAGTGCATATATATGTTATCAACAAAGTAGAAAGTAACTCCAGACCAACAAACGAAAATACTTTCAAATGATTAAAAATGTTCTCAAATAGCGACCCCTACCTAATCCCACCTTTTACCTCAAAAAATTGAAACAAAAATAGAGTGAGGAGACACACAGCTTACTCTCTTTTCTTTACTTAATATGTCAATTGTCTGAATTGAAGTGAAAATGGGCAGCATGAATGAAATAAGAAAAGGGTCTGGTCAAGCTACAGAGCAGACTCTCGATCCATAATCAGAGCTGTAAATGTGTGCCCCCGATACTGGTCAACATTTCACAAGAGTAAACAAACCGATCTAGACTGCCAGAGCTGAGGGCTACCATACTGTAGTACATGCCAACTTGGCATTTGTACTACACAGGGACGTGTTTCGCTCAAAACTTTCTCCCAAACTGTTCCTTAATAGATTTTGAAGTTCATGAAACTAATCAGGGTTTCTGGGCAACATAAGAGGGCTTACTACAGTAGCTGCCATTAGTTTGACCAAAATTTCAAGCAAGTTACATTTGTACATATTCACCATATTTCCATATGAAGCCACTGCCTGCACATTGTGGTTTCTTGAAATGATCTTGGTGAAAAAAAAAAAAATCAGCTACAGTTAATCAATTTAATTAACTCCTCCTGTTAACAGACTTTGCTGTTCTCTTCTAGGTGCAATGAGGATTCCTTCACTGAATGTAAAGTCTAAACAGTGAAGTGTTCTATCTCCTGCTCTACTCTGTGAGGAATCTAGAAGTAAATCATTCCTCCTGAAAACAAATGACCTGGTTCTAGCCCCAGGTATGTTAATTGTGTAACTCTATCATTATGCTTCCTTGCATCGTGTAAATGAATGGGTTGGACAGGAAATGTTTCATGTCCCTCCCAGCTATAAATTTTAATTCATAATTTAGGTTGTTGCTGTTTTCTATTACAGGTTACATGAAAGACCATCAGATGCAGATACAGGTTCCGTATTAGTGATAGCAGCACTTTTTCCTGTTGAAACCCGCTGCATGACATGGGGTCATATAAAACTGAATTGGTATTTCCTCGTGTTCCATCTGCTACCAAAATGTACTATTTGCAGTTCAGGCGGCAGTGGTCGAAGAAGAACGGATTTTCTTGGCACTTTCTGCACATACGGCATGGAGATGAGTAGGAGATTATCCCTGAAAAAATACTGCAAATAATAGCTGTCGATCCTTAGCAACTAACAACGTGCATTATTAAAAACAAACACAACCTCTTGTTCATGAGTTCCACCTCACAAAATGTGTCCTTTGATTCTTTTGGTTCCCATATGGGAACTAGTATTTTTTTATATGAGCCACCATACTTTTGCTGCAGAATTCAAAAATTGCATAGAACACTAAAATCCAGATAATCTCCAAACCTTCTGTTAGCCAGTTGTTAACGATCTTTTCTACTGCTAAGCTTTTTGCCAGAGGTGCTAACAAGTAACACAGTCAACTGATTTGAGTTTCATACACTTCTCCTGACAAGTTGTGTTTTAAGAGCCCCCACAAACAAGAGATTAATTTCTCTGGATTCTAAATCTTTGAGAAGTTGACTAACATGCATGAAATAGTCTTTCTTCTCCCAGCTAACACACTCCTTTTAAATTTAAGGATTGGAGGGGAGGGGTCCTTTTGTCCCTGATTTAAACCAATCTATTCTTTGATAACATGTGTAATTCACAATTCCACCTCCTTTTACAATTGTGTGCTATGCTTTTCTGAACATGGTTTTATTGTTTTTCTGTATTCCTTACTGCATCACATTTTAATTTTCTGAGAACTCCAATAATACATGCTTGTGAACTCATTATTTAAAAAAAAAAAAAAAAAGGGAAAGCAAAGATGATCTCCCCCCCCCCCAAAATCAGGTAGTAAATGAAATACAAAATGCATGAAAATTTTTCTAAGTGATCAATATGAACTGACAAGACATCTTAGAAATGAGGAAGTCCAATCTACTCATCTTACAGGTAAGACAACCAAAAGCCAGAGAGAAGCTAAGTGACTTACTCACCATGACATATCTAACTGGATGCATTTATGGTTTTACACATAAAATTACACACTGTCACCTATGATGGTTCTTTTCACAGTTGAGAACAGCTCTGGGAAGTCTGTTCCTAAAACACGTGGAGGCAGCCACAGTGGCAAAATCCCACATCTGGAGTCACTCCTTGAAATCAAATCATTATCTTAGACATTCTGAAATACGTGCAACTGGTATTAGGGAAACAGGAGAGAGGAAGAAAGAACAATACTCCAGACTATTGAGTTTTAAGTCAGGAGGTTAAAAAAAAAAAAAATCACACATAATCAAAAATGACTCCTGAAATCACCCTTACCCAGAGAGTCCAATATATGTGGCTTTATTTACTGGGAACAGACCTAGGACTTCTCTTATGAGTCCAGCACAGCCGGTTTTCTGTTAGCAATCAAACAGGCCACATTTCTTTTGTTTATCATCAGATGAAATAGTTGGCTGGAATTAAAAGAGGTGGTTGTTCCAAAACCACGTATCTTCAAACAGCAGACTAGCACTCTGCCAGGGGAAGATGCTCCCCCTTAAAGAGGGACTCAGGAAATAAAACAGTTAGAAAATCAGACTCCTGCATTTCACATCCCTAGTAAGGAACCTATCTATTCTCACTGCATGGGACAGTTTGGCCTCATGCACTATTTCACTGTCATTTTTCTCCTGCTAGTTTCTTGATTATGCCTGGAAGTACAGGTGAATTGGTGCCATTAAAGGTATGCAGGATCCAACCCCACTGTATTACCCCATTACCCTATGTATATCCTACAATTGCATATGGAATGCAATGGAATGATGTGGGTTAGACACAGGATGTGTGAAAGTAAAGTCTGGACTCAGGTCCTGATAAGAAGGGCAAGCCAGGTATAGGAAAGGATCACAAAGCAGCCTGAAGACTGTAGGTCTATGTCAATGAGGAAGGTTGAAGGGAATAGGGATCACTTTCTATGGGACTGAATTTGTTCCAAAAAAAAATCTTCACCATGTTCATAAATTTTCCTTGCATTGGATTTGACAGACACATTTTAAACATTGCAACACATCCCATTATATTGACTTTTAATCCACGTAGAGGGTCTGTCTCTCAAGCATATCAGTAATCAGGTAACAACAGACTTCACACTCTGAAAGAAATTAACGAAGAGACGATTTTTCATATGAGGACTTGATCACGGACAAATGAGCTTAGAGCAGAAATAACTAAGCCAATACTTGAAAGTGCATTCCGCCAGCCGGTGCTGCAGGCGGCAAGCAAGCCAGGCTACTCTCCCTCCAAGATCTACCACAAAGAGCCATGTGGGAACCCTTGCACAAGGAATGGTGATGAGGAACAAGAGTTCTACCTGAAAATGAGAGGATTTCGGCTGTGCTGGACTAACATGAAGAAAGGTTCTGCTTATGGAAAAGTTAACCTGTCACTAAGGAAAGAATTACTCCTCCGCCAATATAACTTCCATGTCAATGTAACCAGTTGCTGTAAGTAGAAATTATCTTAATTACCAGCAGTTAAAAATGGGTTTCCTGAGCAGTGTTTAGCTTACATCCATTAGGGGTTAGCCTAAAGGAAAGCATGAGTCCCTGGGCTTGCACACCGTGTTTGTTAGGGGCCAAGAGGAGTTGGCCCTAATTCACCCTCAGGGGATGGAGGGTCCCTCCACCAGGTGCTCTCACAGGACTCCAGGCATTTTCACAACTGAACCACACAAAAGAACGCCCAGGCTGCACCTGCCTTTCCCAAGGCAAGGAAGGAATGCCTCTCCCTGATACAGAAGACTGTGTCAGAAAAAAACACAGGTGTCTACACAGCAATTGTTATGAACTTTGCAATGAATATTCCAAAGCACAGCATCAATCTCACCACTCCATCCATTGTCTCAACAGGGAAAAACCACCCGGGAGACACCAGAGAAGAGGAAAAACACAGCAAGACAAAAAGACCAAACACAACAGAGATATATGTTCATTAAACCCTTCAACGGCCACACAAAATACTTGTACTAGAGAGAAAATGCATTTTTTAAAACCCAAGGCACGTTAAGTACAAATGCTTAATCAACCCTAATTAGGTTCCTTCATTAGTTGACAATGTAAAAGGACTGAAACTACTACTTAAATATTCAAACCTTCATTTTACATTCAAGTACCTTCCAGCAAATGATAAAACAATATTCCCGGGTGAGTGTGGAAGATGGCACTGAATTCTGGCCCATGTATATAAAGGAGGAGTCGGATTCCACTAGTCCCCGCTTGGTTTCACAGACAGGCTTTCAGGGAGCTGTTTTCTAAAAGGCGGACTCGCCCTAATACGTTAACAGAGAACAGTGTAAAGGTCTAAAATCGTCTGCACTCAGGGAATCTGTGGACCACTTGACGTCCAGGCTTCAGAAAAATGATTCCTTAAAAATAGCATTGCGACAAAGATATCAGTTAAAAAGAATAACAAGGGGGAGGAAGAGGGTAACTGGGCAGGAGCCACGGCCGCCGCCCGCGTAAGTTGCCCGGCTGAAGGCGGTGGTTAAGTTAAAGCCAGTTCTCTGTCTCCCGGAGGTGCGCTCCAGCAGTCGGAGAAAGCCGCCCGGTGTCCAGCTCCCCGTGGGCTTTCGGGACTGGGACCGACACGGGGACGGGCTTGTACGAAGCCCAGGGTGGCGCAGCCAGAAGCTCCGGCTGCCCCTCACCTCCCTCCTCCAACGCAGACACCAAGTTAGAAACGCAACTCCTCGAGCACAATGACAAGGAGGCACACAAAAGGAGCAAGGCAGCCGCTCCCATCCTTACCTTTGACTTGACTTTCGTACTCGGCTATGATCTCTTTGTCCTTTTTGAATCTGCTCGGAGTGGACATTATCCAGCTGTTCTGGGTTGGCTTTCAATGGGCAAGTTCTGCTCGGTTGTCACAAACCAGTCTCCTTGGAGAGGCAGAGAGAGAGTTGTACTCCCACACACCGGCAACCCGGAGGCGGCACCCACAGGACGTAAAGGAGGAGGAAGGGGGGGAGGCGGAAAAGAGGAGCGAGCCGAGGACTAGATTAACCCGGGCGCTGGCACCATGCTCTCCGCTCCGAGCGGCCGTCGGTGATCCGCAGAGGAGCCGGGCTCGGGGCCGGAGGGGCCCGGCGCGCAGGCAAACTCCCGCGAGCCAGCGGCGGGGGGCGTCTCCCTGCCCACCCCACCCGGAGCCGGCCACTTCCTCTACGGCCGCTGGGCGGACGCGGGGTTCGCGCCGGCGCTCCGCACCATTGTTAGAAACCCGCAGCGGGCGCTCGGGGCAGGGCCGGCCGCGGAGGGCGGGCGCCGCGACCCTCCCTTCCTGCTCCGGCCGCCGGCTCCGGCGCGCGAGGGTCCCGCCCGGGCCGGGATGCTGCCGCCGCGGACGCCGCTCCCCCGTCGGCAAAGGCTGCCGCTAGCGTCCGGGCGGACGGCAGGAAACGTAGTCCTAGAGCGAGTCTCTGCTGCTGGCCCGGAGGGCGGCCGCTGCGCGGTCCGGTCGCGTCCTGGGCGCAGCCCCGGTGGAGTTTAGGTCTCGACAGCCGGCGCCGCGAGGGGCCTCTGCCTCCTTGGCCGCGGGGCGCCGACGCTCCCTCTTTCTCCTCGTCCCGCTCTCCGCTGCTGCCCCCCGGAGGCCGCCGCTGCGTTGCACACTCGCACGCGCACCGGGAGGAGCCGCGCCCCGGGCGGCCGCAAAGTTGCCGGCGCGCACACGGCCCGCGGCTCCCCGCGCCCACGGAGCGAGCTGCGGGCGGCGGCCGAAGCGGCCGCGCGGGACCCGGCGAAGAGGGGCAGGGCTCGCGGGAGGGGCGGCGCCGCGGCCCGTGCCCTTCGCCCTCGCCCGGCTCGGCAGGGAACGCCGGCTCGGCCGGGAAGATGGACGCCTCTCGCTGCCCCCCGCGGCCCCGCCCCCCGCGCCGAGCCCGGGCGGCCGTAGGCGACGCCCCCCGCGCCGCGCCCGGCGGGGGCTCGGCTGCGCCCGGCGCGCGGGGCGGACTGCAGCCTCAGCGGCTGGGAAGCCCCTCACCGACCCGGGGCGCCTTAGATCGAGGGAGGGGGCTCGGGAGGGGGCTCGGGAGGGGGCTCGGGAGGGACTTTTTCCAGAATCCATCGGAGAAATAGAGTTGGAGCCCTCCACGACAGGAAGGGATGTGACTCCAAGATGTTGGACCCCAGGAGAGAACTGGAGGCTCAGGGAATTGTGAACGACTTGGCTGCTGAAAGTCAACGGAGGGTGAAGCTCTTCAGTGGAGACGGAGAAAAAGACTCCTCTTGAACACAGTATTCTCCCCACCCTGGAAGTAGCTCCAGGAGCTAGGGTGGTGGAAAAGGCGTGGTCACCGGCTTTCTGACGGACACGTTTACCACTTGGGACCTTTTCTTTCTCCTTTCTAATCACCTCATACATAGTGTGGGCCTGGTTTATCAAAGCGATGTGTTCAGAGGCGTGTCCAGTATACAAATGTTTTTCCCTGCAAGATCTCAACAGAGTAGGGAGTTTTTAGACTTTGATCATTCATTCATGTACCCACTGATAAACTTTCACGTTCATACTGTGGGCCAAACACCAAGCTAAGAGCTAGGGACTCCGAGATCAGGTCCCTGCTCTAAAGGATCTCAAAGTATATTATATGAATAAGTAAGTAAATAAATAAATAAATAAATAATACTGTAAGAGGGAGAAATACTCGTGGCTTTGGGAGCCCTGAAAAGGAAAAATGGGCTTTGAAAAGAAGTGATATTTAAACTGGATTTGAAAGATAAATACTAAGCAGTTTGCCCCCTCAGAGAGGGGAGGGGTTGCATTCCAGGGAGAAAAAGAACATCATACTCTGGGGCAATTGGAAAATATAGTCACAAGATATCTTCCACTAAAAGCCCAGATCTCTGATAGGTGAAAAACATTTTGAAAGTTTATATGTATTTCAACGGATTGTCTGTGCACGTTGTTTTTAATTTTGCAGCTTTTAAAATTTAATTTTTAAACAAATCTTTTAACTTTATAACAACAGAATAGAATATAAGGGGAAAAAATTTTAATCTTTAAAAAAAAATTTTAAGAGGCACCTAGCTGGTGCAGTCAGTGGAGCATGCAACTCTTGATTTCAGGGTTGTAGGTTCAAGCCCCAAGTTGGGTGTAGAGATAACTTCAAAAAATTTTTTTCTTAATTTTTTAAAAATGTGTTTTTCCATGGTGCCAAACAAGAGGTTAACTGCAGAACCCCTCTCTGCCCTAATTTCATGTGGAACAGTCTTATGTAAGAGTTGGGTGAAAAGCCAGAATATCTAAAGTAGAGAGGCTGGGAAGGAAGGTCGGGGGAACTGGGAGAGGCCTCCTGTACTGAGCTCTTGGACACAGTTCTGCAGACGACAGGGGAACATTTTAAGTAGAGAAGCGTCATGATCACATAGGTGTTTTATACAGATACACGGTGGCTGTGTGGAAGGATGGATTGGGCATAGGAAGAGAGAGGCCAGAGATAAGCAGCTTACTTTGGTGATTATTGCAGGTAAATATAAATTGATTCATGTCATCCATCCATGGTGCTATTGGATTTATCTTATATTTGCACTTGGGAAGTACAACTTGGCAGTACAAAGTACAGCCTCTACAAATGAATTGTTAGCTGGAGTTAGGCCTGAACCACTGTGGTAGGCACAAGCTCCAAAGACCAGGTGCTCAGAGATGAATCCTAGCTCTGCAGTTTTTCTGAGTGAGCTGGTAAAAATTAATGCACGTCTCCAGGCCTCAGTTTCCTGTCTGTAAAATGGGTTAATACCAAGCTCCTGGGGATGTGATAAGGACTTACTGAGATAATCCTTTAAAATGCTTATAGCAACATCAGACCATTGTACAGATCCAGTGAATGTTAGTTATCGTTGTAGTTATTATCTCAGTTTTAATCTTCTTTGAAAGAAAGGTATTTAAAACTCAGGGGTGAGGGGGCAGGGCATCTAGGGGCCTAAGTAGGAAGTGTGTGACTTTAGATTCCTGGGTGGTAAGCTCAAGCCCCATGTTGGGTATAGAGATTACTTAAATAAACAGAACTTAAAAAAAGAAATAGATTTTTAAAAGAGACAGTATCTTAAATATCTTTGATCTCATCATGTCCAATAAACCATCAATAAATGTTTTTGAATATTAATGCCTTAATATTAGTAAATCACTGTCTTGCTGTTGTTAGAAATTGGATCCCATCCACTTAACAAAGCATTTTGCTTACATTCTTAAAAGAACCCTACAATGCAGATACCATTGTCCTCATTTTACAGATGAAAGGCTAGAAAGCTCAGTAAAAGCCTGGCTGGGCCAGAATTCCAGCCCATATCAGCTTGCCTCCAAAGTGGGTTTTCCCAATTTCTTTTACTCTGCTTCCTGTGAATTTATGGTTCTTTAAACTTGTGAAGCAGGTTCATGTACAGTGAAATGCGTATGACTAATTCCTAGTTTTCCCTCCGTGGATGTCTTCTGATCCGGCCATGCAGTGTGATTAACAAGTCAAATGTTCTTTCCATAGTTTTCTCTTTTTCAGGTTCTTCTTATCTTTCCCATACTCAAGAGCCCACTTAGTTCACAACACTGGTTATGGCGAATGCCTGTGACTTAGAATCCAGAAAGCCAGGGTGAGCCAGGTTTGGAGACCAGTGACTGTGACTCCAATTCTGTGACTTTGCTCTACCTTGTGGCAGCTGTTTTCTTAGCTAGACAACAGCGATGGCCCCCAACGCTCACCCCTCTCGTGCCACACTCCTAGGGGTACGTGATGAGAAATGTAGAGGGCCTGATGGTAGGATCCCTACTACACATTAATCCACTCTGTCATTTAGTATTTGCCTTTCGGAACCACTCCAGATTTCCAGTACTAGTTAATAGACCATCTGACCATATGTCCTGGGAGTAGTGAGGAATATACACAGGGGTCCTTGCAGCCACAAAATAAACCGTGCACCTTGCTACAGTACCCCTTTGGGCCAGTCCTAAATAACTTAAATCATTTTTAAAAGTTCTATGCAAATACATTAAGGAGGTAATGTCAAATTCACACAATGCTTTTAGCTATAGTTTCAATGTCTAAGAATTTCATAGCCATGAAGTAGGCCATTCTGCTATTCCCCTTCATGGAAAGGATACCTTCTCTGCCCGCTGAGATGGAAAAGTGGGTAAAGCCATGCCAATATCCTAGGTTTTAGGGTTGGATCCAGACAGAGCATCAGAACAGCAACTGTTGGGCTTGCATGTCTTATGTTGGCTTGACTCTGGGACCTCTTGGCTTGTCAAACAGCTTGCAGTAATGTTTTCAGTGAATCACATTTGGTATCATGTCCTGGAGCAGTGTCTTATAAAGTATGATCTTGCCATTCATCACCTTTATCAGAAGCACCTCAGGAGTCTATTTAGAATTCAAATATTCTGCACTCAACGCCATATCTCTCAACTTAAATATGCATACAAATCACCTAAGAATCTTATTAAAATAAGGTCCTGATGTTTTCTGGAGTAAGGCTTGAGATCCTGCATTTCTAATAAGCCCCTATGCCATGCCAATAATGCTGTCATAAAGACCACACTTTGAAGGGTCCAAGTTTGGGGTGAGGAGGAAGTCACTTGGTGATTCATATGTATGAGAATCTTTGCCTAAGATCAAGGAACATTAAAAGAATATCCTTACAAAACACTAGCTACATTTACTCAGATAATGTTGCTGACATGGCCAAGATTTTTTTTTTTCAATTTAATATATCTCTAAGAAACTAGACTGTTTTGGGGGCGCCTGGGTGGCTTGGTAAGTTGAGCCTCCAACTTCGGCTCAGGTCATAATCTCCTGGTTCTTGGGTTTGAGCGCTGCATCAGGCTCTGTGCTGACAGCTCAGAGCCTGGAGCCTGCTTTGGACTCTGTGTGTGTCTCTCTCTGTGTGCCCCTCCCCCACTCGTGCTCTGTCTCTCAAAAATAAATAAACGTTTTAAAAATTTAAGAACCTAGACTGTTTTCTCCTCCAAGATAATAAAAATTTTGTTTTAACTTTTTCATCCATAAAATGGGGATAATGATTACCTTGAAAGGTTTGTGGTGGGGAATAAAGGCAAAGTGTGTATAAAGCACTTAGCACCAAGCTGGGCACATAAGAGATAAATAAATGTTGGTTATTATGGTCATCATTATTATTATTAT